AGCCTAAGTTGTGCTGCTGTTGTAGAAGCCCTGCCCCACACCCCTGCAGTTCAATGCTGGGAGTTAGTGCATTCTTGCCTTGTGGCCCCACAGCAGATTAAGGCTTCCAGTGGTTCCTGACCCAGGAAGGAAGGCTTTGTATGCCTGAAAGCTGGTGTAGTTTCTTCACTCCCATGTTTATCTTTCTCAGACAGAGCCTGTGTTGCCTCTCTCTTTACACATACCTAGCCCCAGAAGCTGTGTATTACACACTCCTTGAAAGTCCTCTAAGCATTACTAGAAGGTGATGGTAGTGCAGCATCTTCCTTTGGCCTCATACTGGTCCTACTGCCCTGGAGCAAGGAGGAGCAGAGGAAGGAGCTGGGCATTGGTCCAGCAGACCCAGGAAACACAGCCATATAAGGTGTGAAATCAGTTCAGAGCAGCAGCCTTGACTGACCATGACAGTGTATAAACTACCAAGTGCCATGGCCAGCCCATGGAAAGATCACAGCTAACAGGAACAATTGGAGGAAGGGAGAGCAGAGCACACGTAGGGAACAGCCCATTTAAAAATGCCACGCGTAAGTAGTTTAAAGTACTGTTACTATTTTGGGTGAAAGCAAAGACAGTGCTGACTTTACCAAGAGCCAGCTGTGGAGGAGAGGAAGGGCTTTGATGGGAAAAGCACTATCTCAGCTGGACTGTCACCTACAGCTCCTAAGTGGTAACTTCTGAGCACTGGAGTGATGTTACACACCACTTCTCAGCAGGGACCAGAACAAGCTCTCCTGACAGTCCTTGCCCTCAGAGAAACAGCAGCAACTGGGAGAACCCTACACAGTGCAGCAGCCAGATCGCATTTTAGGGTGTCATACATACAAGGGCACTAAGCCCTGTAAAATGGGGTGATGCCCACATGCAGCTAGGCGTACTGGTCCCACCAGTTCAGGTTTTCTTCTATTTTAGAGCATGGCCTTGAGGTGTACAGCAGCTCAGGCAGGGTCAGCAGAGCTCTCCCTCACACCAAGCTCTGCTCTAGGGCTTTGGCTGGACTCCCACTAAAGCCCTCCAACACTCCAACCAAACCTGCAGTGAAACTCAGGAGGGCTGCTGCTCTAACACACTCATCCCAGCCACAAGCAGTGCAGCCAGACGCACCCCTCTTCCCAGGCTTGAGTCAGTGCCTGGGCTGGCCTCCCCACTCAGGAGAGCCCTACTCACAGGTGATGGGGAAGGCAGCACTGCAACCCAACAGCACTGGAGGGAAACCAGCTGTCTCAGGTGGTACAGACAACAGAGCCCAGCCAGGCAAGATGCACTTCTGTAGCAAAAGCAAGGCAGCAGCAACATAAATCTCCCTCTGACCAACCTGAGCTGCCTTTTGTGCAAATCCACGCTGCAGATGGCAGCAGCTTCTGCTTCAGCAGATGCTGAAAGCAACAGACTGCTCTTTGCCCATCACCTGTGTTGCCAAGGTCTCTATTCCCTGCTCTGCCCCATCGCAGCTCCCCAGGATTTCTGAAAAGCAGCAGCACCTCCCAGGCAGCTGGCCCAGGTCCCAGCCCACACCCACGCTCCACCCCAGCCATTCTTTCTCAGGGTGGAACCACTTTCACAACAGGAGTCTTGACACATTTCCTGCTCTGAGCACTGCTCTACCAAAGCACTTGGAAATAATCTGCCATCTGCTTCATCAGCACACTGCTATTGCCCCCCAACACACAAACCTCCTATGCCAGCTGCTTCTCAGCCCAGCCGCCAACCACACTGGGCAGAACCAAGCACCTGGAACAGCATCTGAGCACAGCAAGCCAGGAAAACAAGAGGGCAGAGCCATTTCTCCTTCTGTTTGTTTATTTGTGATAGAAGAGCAGCCCCATCTGACAGGGCCTGGCTCCTTCACCTCATCCTCAAGGCATTCAGCATGGTTTTGGTTACAGCCAGAGCAGGTGATGGGCACCAGGCCCAGGAGAGCTGCTGTGCTGCCCTGTAAAGGGCAGAGTACACCTTCACCCAGGCCCAGGTGGATCCACAGAGGCAAGGGATGCTCACTGTTACACCACAGCAGGGCATGCTAAAACCATCCTCCACTGTGCTCACGCTGGGCCAGAGCAGGGCTGGTCCCACACAGGAGAGCCCAGAAGTTGATTTTAGGGGCAATTATTGCTCAAGTCTTGAGTTTGCAGGAGTGGAAGTGGTCCAAGGCAAGGCTGAGCTTGGCCTTCCCCACTCTGGAACAAGCCACCAGCTGCCATACAGGATCAGGTAAGTGTGGCTAAAGCACACACCAAGCACCCAGCCCAGGCACAGAAAGGCAAAGGCAACCTGGGCTTATATGGGGGAGGCATTTCAGGCTGCCACAACTCCTGCTATGTACTAGGCACAGAGCATGTGTACTGCAATGGGCAGGTCTGGGCCCCTGAGTCCCATAGGCACTGCCCCTACATTCTCCACAGCCACACCTGAGCACAGATACACCAGGGCAGGACCCCCTACCTGGGCACACAGGGACCAGAAGGGACATGCAGCACTGTGGCATGGAACAAAGTGGCACAAGGCATGGTAGAGCAGGAGCACTCATGCTTGAGCTGGCAGCAGCAAGCAGCCAGGGACAAGTCTGCTCATCCACACAGGCTCTGATGAGACAGGGAAGAGGAGAGGGCACCAGGACAGGGATCGGTCTCTTCTTTTGGTCCGACTCAGAAGGAAATGGCCCTCAGGCAGAAGGGCCAGATGTAGGCACTTGGGGGAAGTTCCTTTGGAAACACTGGAATGGGACTGCAGCCCCACAGCTGTGATGCAGGCAGCTGCCTCTCTGCTCAGCAACACTGAGAAACAGCATGAGCCCTCCCAGGAGCAGGAGAAGTTGCCCATGGCTGCTCAGAGCAGAGGGGCTGGGCATGCAGACAGAGGAGAGCAGGGCTGGGCACAGGGGTACAACAGTCTGTAGGCACTTGACTTGGCTAGTGGCACCCAGTCTGCCCCGGGGCTCTCATTGGCTCTGGGAGGGCCTTGCCCTCTAGTTGGCTTTGACCTTGCCGTTGGTGACAGTGCCATTCTCATGGATGCTGCTACCGTTGTGCTGAGGCGCCCTGGGCAACCGTTTGCCCTTGGTGTAGGACTGGTACCAGAAGTTGGAGAACAGGATGAAGAAGATGGTCCCATAAATCCAGATGAGGTGGATGAATATGGGAAACTGGTACTGGCAGCTGGGCATGAAGTAATACTGGGAGATGTGGACGGAGACAATCACGAACTGTGCCTGGGAGCAAGGCAGAGCAGGGACAAGTTATTCATGGGAGCGGGGTCAGGGATCCCACTAGAGACCTTCTTTCTAAACGAAACCAATAGGCTCCTTTCCCACTCTGAAGCAGAAGTCCCTATAGTGAGGCACTCAGCAGGAGCTGGAAGAGGCAGGCACAAGTTCAGAGGCAGAATGTGCCTCTTACCCTCCCAGCATGGCTGCAACCCAGGGGCAGCAGGCTGAGCAGCACCCACATCCTAAGCAGACTGGTAGGGCTTTCAGAGGCCCACAGTGGGCCAGAGCTGCTACAAAGCCAGAGAGAGGCACTACAGAACAGACTACTACAGCTGCTGGCTGTACCATTCTAAGTACAAGGCCTAGCCCGCCCCTCATCACATCAGAGACTGAGGGCACATGCTCTGCTCCACAGCACAGGCTCACCAGCTGGATGGCTGTGATGTGCTTCTTCCACCACAGGTACTTCTGAAAGGCAGGTCCTGCTGCTGAGAGCCCATAGTAGAAGTACATGACAACATGCACCATTGAGTTGATCATGGCATGGAATGAACCCATTCCCCCTGTCAAGACAGATTTTCATCAGCACAAGTCAATCCTTCACTGCAATCATCACTACAAGGAGCGACTAGGAGTCTAGCAGGGCCGAAACTCCCTCTTCAGCATGCTGGAGCTAAGCCCACCCTTTCCCCAAACTGTGCACCCAGTTTCCATCTTACCTGGACCAAACCTAGCTCCCCACCACCAGCTCCAAGGCAGAACAGAGTGGTGGAAGAGGTGCAGGAATGTGACCTGTTCATTCTTCTTCCGCAGGACAAAGATCACCTGCAATGGGAGCAAAACAGCATCAAGTACCTGCAGCCCTGGGAAGAGCTAGAGCAGGTAGGGCCACTAATTCAGTGTCTGATCCCAGTGATGCTTCCCCCTCTCTAGGCTCACTGCCATCACACATTAGGTCACCCCATAGCTTCCAGAGTAAAACATGCCAAGAGTTGCCTCTGCAGCAGCCCACAGTGGCCTCCTTCACAATGATGCCAGACAGGAGCAAGTCAGACTGCAAGGGCTGAAGAAAGCACCTACTCCAAGTACACTGGGCCCCAACTCCCTGCCCAGCAAGCAGCAACAAGGCCTCCTCAGTAATCCACTCACCGTGTCTGTCAGTTCAATGAACTTGGAGAAGACAAAGAGCCAAGCAACACTGACCATCTGCAACAGAACAGGTTAATGTTAGAGATCCACCTCAGCCTGAAGATGCCCAGTGACGACGGGTCTCCACACAGTAACCCTGGGGTGAAACCAAGAGCCAGGACTGCAAGTCCTCTGCCTCAGGACAGGCAGGTAGCTGTGACCCTGCTGTCCAAACAGAAGTGCTAAGGCTGCACTTACAGGAGAGGGATGGGAACTCACCCTGAGGGCCTTGGGGTCCTGTGAAAAGTCCACAGGGTCACATCGCCAGGTGTACCCAGTGAGCCACCCTGCCATCAGGAACTGCAAGGAGAGCATCATCAAGGTGAGGGCCCAACATCACCCACAGAACTTCTCAAGCCCTGCATAAATGCTCCCCACCACCCATACAGCCTGCGTGCACTGCTTTCTATACACCAGACAAAGCCTCCTGCCAACAACTCACCTCATAGACTATGTAAAGTGACAGTCCCACCAGAAAGAAGTTGTATAGCACCATGAACTTCTTCAGGTTTAAAGGCTTCCTGTTGGCCATTAGCCGGGGCCCCAAGGATAGTACAAAGTAGACATATGCCAGAAGGATACCCATCACAACGAATGGGGACTGCATCAGTGGATAATCAGCGATGCGGGGGTCTGCAGAGAGAGCCACAGTGCAGTGGTGAACATCCTCACCCCAATATGCTGCCAGCAGTGTTCTGTCAGAGTGGAGGCAAGGACACAGCAATCCTGTTCTCCCAGGCCAGGAGTGCAGTCTGGGAGCTGAGACTGGTAAGGCCAAACTCAGTGAGGTACAACCTGGAGATCTTCTGCCCCAGGAGAGCATGAGTGCCCCAAAAGAGTCTGCACAGGCACTGAGGCAAGACAGCCTCATAACAGGCAGCTCCAAAAACCCAGAGCTGCATCCACATCAGGGCAGAGGCAGGATGCAGCTTGACCCAGACTGCTTCACGGATGACAGAGCACCCTGCTGTGCCTGTGGCAGTAAGGCATGTAGTGCCACCCGCCCTGCTGCTAGGGACAGCCAAACACCCACCTGCTTTCTTCATGAAGTCCTGATACATGGTCACAATCCCCTCCATGGTGGTGGCAGTATCTCTGTGGAGGGAGGAAGGGCAGATCAGGCAGCTGTTTTCCCAGGAGGGCAGCCTGCAGAGCACAGCCCTGCAGATCAGCAGATTTCATGCACAGCTTCAGCAGTACAGTCATGTGTATGTGGCCAGCATTGCTCTCAGTTGATCACACACCAGCACCCACTTGTCAGTTGAGCCTGACCCCGTCTCCCCAGCTCTGCTGGGAACCCCATCACCCACCACCAGCAGTCCTTCCAAGGCAGGATCCTATCATTTTAAGCCAGCTAGGAAAGCTTCCGACCTCAGCACTGTATTTCCAGCCCCTCAGCCTTGCTCCTGCTGTACAGGCTCAAGCATTATCAGCCACAGCCACCACGATGTTGCCACCAGCCTTGCCACCCACACCCACCCAGCACACTGCCCTGCCTGACCCTGGGGCAAGGTCTCCAAGGGAGATGCAGAGCTGGCCTACGCTCTGCACAGAGCAGTGCTTTTTGATCAGCTTTGGGCTCCTGCCCACTGATTCCCACCAAACAGGCAATACAGCATCATTGGTAGACCAACTGCATGAGGAAGAAAAGCCACCGGTTAAGAAACAAACACCAGTTTCTGGTGTCAGAGTTCCTAGTTTCACATCCTTGCAAAAACACTCCTGACAAGAGCTGCCATCCCGTAAAACAGCACCTCAGAGGCTAAGTACACCCTACTTGGCAATGGCATTTCCACTCTCCTTCCAGATGGGGCACAGTATCCCCAGGTAGAGGAGAAGGATCTAAGGCTGCAGGGAGGAGGACTGGCACACCCCACACTTGCTGAACCTCACTAAGAGCCCACACCAAACAGTGATCCCAGATGGATGCTCTCCAGAAAGACAGGAAGGGTCCAGGCTCTTGCTGCTACAGGCAAGTTTGAAACGCTCTCACCCAGTCCCCTGTGCTCCAAAATCTCTCCCCAGCCCACAGCACAGCAGAGCAGTAGGAAGAGAGGCAGAGCACAGGCCCTGACTCACCCACCTGCAAGGGAGGCATTCCCCACAGCTGCCTCCAGACACTCCACCTACCCCTTCCTTCAGGAAGGTGCACAGGAATCCCTGGCCACGCACAGGCCTGGGGAAATGGGTCCCAGCAGGTTTATTGCCACACCATCAGGAAGCATGCAGCCTCTCCCAGACCAGCAGCCAGGAGGCTGAAGCCAGAGTAATCTTCTTCCCAGTAAGGTGCCAGCTGGGAGTATCCAGCAGCCACTGCCACCTCAAGCCCTCACCAACCAGCACTGCTTGGCAAAGTCCTCTTTGGGACTCAGGCAGGATGGGTCTAACACTGTCTGTGCAGTGCTACCAAGCACCTATGTGACAGGCTTCGCTGGCAACAGTCTTCATGGGGGCCTGGCACACACCATTCTGGGTCACCTGGTTCACTGCAAGTTACTTCAGTGCAGCAACAGTGCTGGATCTGTGCCTGCCCAGTCACACCCTCCATTCACCTCCAAACTGGAGAGCATCACCCAACCTCCCTGTACCACCAGTGGGGTGGAACAGGTGTCCCTCTCCACCCCTACCCTCAAAAGACCCATTTCTAAGAAAGTCTCCAGAGCAGCCTGCACAGTCACACACATCAAGAACAGAGCCCAAGCCTTGCTGTGCAGCAACAGCCCCCAGCCCACTCAGGACTGACCCCCACATCTCAGGGGCACCAGCAGAACAGATGTTTATCTTCCCAACCCAAGACTTCAAGGGGTTTAACAGCAAGGCACACTCACTTCTAGTATCACCATGATACAAGTAGTATTTAAAGGCCCTGGGCACTGCCAAGATTATCCAGTGTTCACACGCAGCAGAGGCCAGGAAAGTGTAGCAAGAACTATAGCATCCTTGAGAGCCACTCGAGGCTCCAGCTGTGAGAAATGCTGTAAGTACAAGTCCTGAATGCTGACTTATTAAAAGCACCTCATGGCACTTTAATGGCTAAGAACAAGCCCCAAACTTGTCTGTCTAGTTTAAGCTTTCAACCACTACATCCAGCTACACCTTTATTTGCTAGATTGAGGAGCCCTCAAGTCAGCTCCCAGCACAGGTACCTGACTATTCAAGCTCTGTGTTTATCTTATCAAACTGAATGAGTCAGCCTTACTACAGGTCCAGGGCAGAGACAAAACTCCTGTGGAGTACTCACTTATTTAGGGCAGGCTAGGATGAGAAGACAGCATCAGTCACCCACAAGATCAGAGCAACATCCAGCACTGCAGGGAAACAAGCTCAGGCATTCCGGATCCCTCTGCTGAGCCTGATGGCAGCAAGGCTCCTAGCAGCCAACTAGGATCCCAGCTCAAGACAGTTCAGTGTCCCAGGACACTGGGGACTTGGGTGAGAAGACCCACACTGCAGTTTTGCCCTGACGGATCTGCTGAAGGCTGCACACAGCAGACAAGGGCTACTCTGTCAGCAGCCCAGACAACCATTCTCCCAAGCAGTGGGAGAAGCCCACTTTAACCCAGCACTAGCACAGAAGTCCCCAGAAGTGCGAATGGCAACAAGTCCCTCTTACTGCTGTGTTCTGTGAAGCACCTCCAGCACTGCTACAGCCATACAAGCCACAGGGACACAGGAGGCACTGTCCTGAACATGGGCTCAGGGCAAGCACCAGGACTTTACCAGGACTATGCTACAGGTCCTCATGAAAAGGACCCATTCATTTTCCACAGCTCCCCTAGGCAGGACAACATCCTGTCTTCCCAAGGGACAGCCACTGGCCTTGGGGTGTTGGCAGTTGAGCTGCAAAGGGGGAATTGCAGAGCAGACCCAAGCATTGCCTTCACTAAGCAGGAGGATGTGAAGTGCACTGGCCAGCCTGAGCCATGGCAGCTCCATGCCAGCCTTTCTGCTGCAGGCAGAGGTTTTCCAGCACAGAGCAGCAAGTGTCTGGGAACCTGACTTCACCTCTGCCATTTCCTCTGTGCACAACACCAGCACTTGATGCCACTGTCCTCCACATCACACTGCAGGTGTTGACAGCTCAGTGGCTGGTATCCATCCTCTCTGTACAGGGGAGACACTGTCCTTCGAATCCTCCCAGATCTGGATTCTCCTGGGCAACGAGCTGGGAGGAGATGAGTGACCCAAAGCTGAGCCTTTAATAGCTGAAAAGAAGTCAAGCAAACACATCCAAGCATCCCAAAGCATCAGAAACCCCCAGGGCCCAAACACACCCTGCAGAAGACCTTGCAACACATCTTCTACCTCCCACCACCAGGGTGTCACTTCCCCATCTCAGTGAGAAAGTCCCCACTATCTGCAAACCAGAGTATCAGGTCACATTCCGTCCCAGTAACCAACATGAAGGATTAGATACTTGCTTACACCAAGCAATGTGTACAATGCATATTTCCAACAAGCTATACAGCTAATTAGTGCAACTTCAGCAAGAACAGCCAGGCCCTTTATAACCAGTCCCAGCAGCCCAAGGGGAGTCAGACTACAGCACTGTGAACCGTGACACTGATGGAGACCAGAGCTCAACCCATGTGGCTTTGTAAACAGCCTCACAGGGCACATCTCTCCCCACACAGCAACCATCTGCAAGCAATAGACTCAGCCCCACCACTCCTACTCTGCCACCCCATCAGCATTCAAGTCAGAAATCAGTCCTGTAATAAGCATGAAAGCAAGCCACACTAATCTCCCCACTGGTTTAATTACAGACAGCACCAACACAGCCTGGTAGGTGGCCACGGAGCTGCCACCCCAGGGACAGCTGGCACAGGGCCCTTGCTCAACTGGCTAAAGCAGGCCTGGCCCCTGCAGGGCTCCCAAGGGAGCAGCAACCCTCAAAGGTCAGGAGATAACCAGACATCAAATCAACCCACATCCCTGACCTACAAGCTGACAGCCAGGCTTGCTGCCTGAAGCCACTCTGAGCTCCACAGCCTCTTAAAGAGGCATCTTCCTCCCACAGCTCCCCACCAGAGCACCTGCCCAGCTTCCTGGACCTCCAGAAAGTCACTGTTGGGTCCAACAAGGCCTGCACACATCTCCATGCACCCAAGGAGTATGTTTCCCAGCAGAGCTATGGGGACCTGTGGCTCAGACGCATCTGCCAGCAGCAGCTGCCACTGCGGAAGATGGGACTGACCAACCCAGGGTCTGGTGGCCCCAGACCAGGCACAGACAGGGCTGTGCACAGCACACACTGAGGCTGACACCTCAAACTGTCACCAAAAGCTGTCAATCACAGCTCCAGGAGAAGTTTTCCTCAGCTTATGCACAAGTGAATCCAGCAAAATGAGGAACACAAAACCACATCTGCCCTGAACAACACATGAGCAGCAAGGCAGCCAGCACAAGAGGGAGAAGGAGCCCAGCCTCCCCCCTGCAACCCCCAAGCAGCTAAATCCTGCAGTTGGATCACTAAGTTTACCATGAAGCACAGAAGATTGGATTTGGATCTCTTCCTTTTGCCACTCTTTGCCCAGATGAAAGGGAGAGATGCCTGCAACCAGATAGTGCACACTTGCTTCATACGCAGCATCTCAGGACATCAGCTCAAGCAACACACAGCTGAGAGCACTCAACAGGAGAGCTGTATTCAAGCACACCTACATTACTGCTAATGATTTCAGCCATCTGACTGAAGACTCAGATAAGGCACTGTTGTCCTTATGCTACTAAAGTCACGTTTTCCCCCCTCAAGAGAAATCACAGCCTAAAGAGATGCCTGTGCACCAGCTCATAGGGCACAGAGGAGCAGCCTGGCAGAGCATGAGCTGCTCTGTTTCAAGTGTGGAAAGCCCTAGCAGCAGATCAGGGCAGAGCAGGAAAGCAGCTCTTCTAGGCTGGCACCTTGGCTCTGAGGATTCAGGACAGACTGTTCAGTTTGAGGACAACCAGTCCCAGAACTCTCAGCCCACAACATAAAGTCCACAAGGAAACTTCAAGCTCACACTGCCAGATAAGTTTTCCTACTTGAATCACATCCATTTGTCACTTCCTCTGGCTCAGATACTTCATGCTGAGTATCAAAGGACA